GGGTTGGGTGTGACGGCAAATACTCATTGATGACATTGACTAGTGTTCATGTTGTACTGTGAATTGGCAGAAGCTAGAATTGATGGGTCATTGGATTTCGTCTCAAATGGGGATGGTAGATGAGTTCACCTTGTAGCACGAAGGTCCTGGGCACCTACTGTTGAACAGTCCCAAACAAGGAGGAAATAGCCGTATAGTACTAAATAATTTCCAACGGTTTTCTGACCGAAGTTACTTTGTGATCAATCGTGATATTCAAATGTGTTCGAAAACTTGTTCATCTTATTTTTTTAATCTTTTTGTGTTCCCTGAGGTGAACATTTTAATCATAAGGCTTTTATCACTCCTCTGGACGACATCTTTAGCGCTAAATCCAGTTGAGAGAGAACATAACAACATCAAAATAATGTTCACTTGAGCTGCAAGTCTACACTATTTCAAATTCTTACTAGTGGTTAATTTGACATCTTAATATATCCATTCAAACTTCCAAAGGTAATTAATTCTTCTGTAGTGTCAGCTATACGGCGCTTACAAGAAGTGCAGTGTAGAAACAGATATGTGCTCACAAAATTGCATGGCATAAATAGATTGTGCAGACAATTTTATTTTCAGAAAATATAAGGCGTAGTTTTATGGTAAATGATTGATCATTGAACACATTCACTTTAAAAAAAAGCAATAAAGGTTGATAAAACAGATCTAATGAATTCATCAAATTTCGGTAGAACTCGTCAGGTGTGAATACTCCACATACGGGGATATATATACTATTGAAATTACATTCGGAGATATAAGACTGAAAAGCACAAATAAACTACATTGAATTAGTCATGCAGAAAGACAGGTACGAATGTTTTCCAGGTCATGTTCAAATAGATAAGGGGAGAGGGAGTATGAGAGATTGAAATTAAGATAAAATGCATTACGCTTCAATTACATCACTTAGATAAACAATTAATCATTAGACAATATATCGAGAATTGCAAACAAAGCAATTTCAATAGTTATAGTTATAATAATAATAACAATAATAATAATGCTAAAGTGAGTTAAGATAATGCTACTCCTAAAAGATAGTTTTAAATGAATCAAGAATTATAATAATAATAAGAAGAAGTGGAATAAAGTGTTATTAATATTAATAATAACAGTTAATAAGTAAAACGTATTACCATGGTAGATTCAGAGTGATGACCATCTCCTTTTGTACACAGAGACCTGGTTTATAAACTCGAATTGCACAAGCTTCTGCAATTGCAAGCATCTTCTTGTTTCTTTGTCTGCTGACAATAGTGAATGACTTGACCGCATCGATATCATGTCCGTCGATAGTCCACAAGATGTTTTGATATTGAGGATTTTGGCACTTTGCAATCAGCTGTTTTCAACCATTTTGGCAAATGCTCCATCATGCGATTAGACAATCGCCTTTCCGTACGACCTACGTATTTGCTTCCACGAACACACTGAAATTGATATACGCAGTTTGAAGTTTCGAGGATTGGTGACTGGTCTTTCCCAGATTGTTGTAGCACTCGCTTGGTGGTGTTAAGGAAAACAATTTTTGCAGCATAATAAGTTCTCTTGATGGCTTTGTCGAGTCTTCGTTTGACTACTTCCTGTACATCATGTCCTTCGAACGGCAAAATGATATAGACAGGTTTCTTCGGAACTGTTTGAATTGTTTTGCAGGGGCTAATTTCTTTAGTTTGATATACAATTACAACTAGTAAGCCAGAAGATTTAAACAATAAAATCGAAGAAATATGGAAAATATTACTACTGAATAACTGCCCACCAGAATTTATTCAGAAATGTATGGAGGTACACAGAAAAAATAAGATTAGCAGTGAAAATAACAAAAATAATAAGGATTCACAGCCTCAATGGTACTGCCATATGAAGCAGGAACATCAGAGGCCTTACAAAGAATTCTCAATAAGGCTGGAATTAGGGTGGCATTTAAACCAACCAATTGTCTCAGAAATAAACTTTGTAGGCTTAAGGACCCAATACACCCAATTAAGAAAAATAATCTAATTTACCAAATAACATGCAATGACTGTTAGGCCAATTACATAGGTCAAACTAGTAAATCAGGGTCAACTAGATTATTGGAACATAAAAATTTAGTTAAACCTAGAAAGATTGATCCTGCTAAATAACTTAGAGAAAAGATGGGCCATCGCTTCGGATTCACTTACATGTAATCAAGCAATAGGTTGGGTTTTATGACTACTCTGAACTGAATAACCCCGTCACCAAGTCGTTATTATCTGTGTCGCCAGCTGAAAGTGAATAGTCGCCAATTTGTTACGGACCTGTTGCTAACTGACGGGATCTCGTTGACAGTTGCTTGGGTATGATAACACTGACGTAATGAAAAACTCAACTGATACGCTAAATACTCCTATTCGTCCATGATACCTTCCGCTTCACTGAGCCATGCAAATATCAAAAGATAAAGATTGGTCTGTGTAATGTTCGGATACCATTTTATTAGGAAAAAGTACGTCATATTTATGCCTTTTTAACGACAATAAAATCTGACTAGGGTAATGGAAAAAGACTGTTCTGATTGGTTGGCGATCTGGCCAAGGTGAGAGAAAACTGAGGAAATTTTACAGTCATCCGATCACACGATGAATCATTAGATGATTACTGTTTTAAGCCGATTCCAATCAGTGGGACAGAGTGAAAGTATTAAAAAGTATTGGTTTCATCCTGGTTTGCTGAAGAGTCCCAAACTTGGACGAAACAGCTGTCCAGTACTCCCTGAAGGTTTTCCAGTGGTTCTCTAACTGATGTCAGCTCATGATGAAACCGTCCATGCAATCAAACAAAATCCCAACAAAACCAATACTTGAAAATTAATCTGATGCTCACTAGAGACTGGCCCTATTTAGGCAGTTAACCTGGGGTTCTAGTGGGAAGCTGTGACCAGTAGGGTACAGCAGGTTGAAGATGAGGTGGTGACTCATCGAAGAAGACATTGCGAAATGGTCGCACTCTGTCATGAGCTGGCCATTGGATCGGGTCCCAGTGGCTTAATGGTCTACGAGCTGGCTCACCTTGTGACCAGAAGTTACTGGGTTCGAATCCCGGTGGGTGCGTACTATTAAAAAGTAATATAATTCGGTAGAGAGAAAGAGGTTGTACTCTGAATCTTTGTTGATCGATTCAACATCGCACACGTGCAATCGAAATAATGCATTGTCTATACCAGAAATATGGGGTGTGTAATTACGTACAGTGATCAATAATAGATTACGAAACATTGAAAAGGAAAAGAAAGAAAGCTTAAATGAACACGAAGACAGGAGAATTAGTTTCACTAGTTTCTTTTTTGTGCATAGAATTGATTTATTCAAGTGAATGGTTAAGGTTTCGACAGAACAAATAATATGAATACATACTATGTTTGCAGAACTTGTCTTTTGTCTATAAACGACGCTAAACGCAACGTCTCAGGAGTCTGAGTTGTCAGGGTTGAGAATATGTTCAGGTACTTCACTTCTGTTCGGTAGGCGTTTTCCACTTCCTAATCCCGGAGGATAATGTTTGGTAGTTCTTTTTGATAATGTTTACGAGAAACAACCTTCTGACCTAGGTCCGCCGGAGCAAATAAACCGACAGACATACATAGTATCGTTCAAATGTGAGAGAATGACAGGAGAGCACTGACTTCAACGTAGTGCAAAGAACATATCCTTGGGTGAGAACGACTGCTTAAAGTATTGGTTTTGCAGGCATTTTGTATGATAGGTTGGAGGAGTTCATCATGAGTTGATATCGGTGAGGGGACCGTTGGAAAACCTACAGGGAGTACTGGACTTATGTTTCATCCTGATTTGGGACTTCCCAACAGCACACACCAACCACCAGAGCTCGAACCCAGGGTCTTCTGGTTACAAGGTGAGCTAGCTCGTAGACCATTAAGCCACTGAGACCCAATCCAATGGCCAGCTCATAAATTCTAACTTCTGCCAATTCATGACATTGCGCGACCACTTCGCAGTGTCTTCTTCGGTGAGTGACCGCCTCACCTTCAACCTGCTGTATCCTACTGATCACGGCTGCCCACTAGAACCCCAGGTAACTGCCTGAATAGGACCAGTCGTTAGGGAGCATTAGATCAATTTCTACTGTAAGATGCCAGCAAGTTAGTTGAATTTTGAGTCTACATACATAGTATATTTTTCGGTATGCAATTAGGATTATATCTACTGGGCTTATGAGTTCTCATTTTATGTACTTTGTTCAGTATTTACTCACCAGAACAATGTATATACAACAGTTATGTGGCTGAACTCGCTGAAAAAAGACAGTTCTCTCAATTTATTGTTCTACTTTTTTAAAATTTTCTGATGGATATTTCTTGTACAAGTTATGTGAGTCACAGCTTTTGGAAATGATTAAGGTTTTCAACTACGAATGAATAACGTTTATTTTCTGTAGAAAAAATAAAGAAGAATATTAAAGGTACAATGTTTATTTCTGCACTACTAAGTTTTATTTGAGAGTAGATATGTAAGAAATTTTATAAAATGATGTGTATTTCCTGAGGATCTTTAGAAATACTCTAATCTGAATATCAATCGCCCGCTTACTGACGGCTACTGGATGGATTTCATGACCGATGAGGTCCAGCATGTTAAGGTGAAGTGAATGCTGACCGAATGCATTGATGAGGGCACTGCTGTATCACAATTTGACAAGGTTAAAATTCAGGGGTCATTCAATTTCACCAGAGCTTGGTCTCGTAACCTGGAGGTCCCAAGTTCGTTCCATGGCTGAGTCGTGGGTGCGTACTTCTGTAGAATGGAATATCTACCCAGTGCTCTGTAATTTTTAATGATCTCCCTAACTTATACTGGTTCGTAGCGAAAATCTTACAATTGAGAATAAGATATGCTTTCTGCAAATAAAGACTATCAACCCAAATTTAAATTGTACAAATATATTCATTCCTTTCATTGAACTCTTTTATTCTATAGGTTCGCTCTCTAAGAGGCTCAGAAGCACAAGAAGCTGCTATGAATCATAAAGGTTCTGCAGTACAAGAGTTAATCACACATGATCGTCTACCTCCTGATCCTATTGGATGTGGATTTGCGCATGTTAGTGAAGAAGCGAAAGAAATTGCAGAGCTCAATCGTAACGGGATGATTTCAGGATTGTTAGGTGGTAAAACAGTATCAAATATTCCACTTGTTGGCGTTGAAGCACCTTCACATAAACGTGTGCAATACGAAGCTATTGAATATGCTACTCGTGGACAAGGTGAAGAAATGAAAAACATAATTACACAAAAAGCCTACTAACAAGTTTTCTCAAAAAAACATTGAATTGTATCGCAATCTTGTGTGTTTTTTATTGTGTCACCTTTCTGTCAGTTCCATGAAGTTCTTTAGAAAGCGGTCTCATAAGTCAAAATTATGGTTCATATATCTAGAAGACAGCTGAAACAAACTGTTGCCATTTTTACCACCAACACTGAATCAATAACAAGTGGATATCATTGAGAAAACGCTGAAAATCAACAAGCGCTTAATACTGACATTATTCTTTCAGTGTATGGAATGGAGATAACTCGGATACACTCTGAGGAGACCTCCAAATGACATCACTTGCCAGGCCCTCGAATGAAGCCCTAGGGGGAAGGGATGAGTAGGTGGGGGGAGTCATGTGAAGGTGAAGTGAAAACTTATAGGTAGTCGTGGAGTCGGTGAAAGTAGATCGCAAGGAATAGAACACGGAGCGAAATGTACTGCTGAGGCCTCATGTTCCATTAGAAACTCAAGAAGAGCATAATAATGTAAGCTTTGAGCACGGCTGCACGAGAAGTTCCACATAGTAACATGAGATCAATTCGTGTCCAAATCTATCTTTAAACCTATCAGTCGAGCTAGTCTTTATCAGTTAAATATATATGAACAGGCTACAGGCAAAGTAACTTCCAATTGTTCAATTTGTATTTGAATATTTCGTAAGCAATTAGTTTGTTTTACCAACCTGGACAATATGTAGTGAAGTGAGTTAAATAATGGAGGCACCTGTCACCAGATGGACCAAAATCAGACATCCTTGGGCTTTCAAGGCTAGGGAGCTATTCGTTAACTTGGTTGATGGTGACTAGCAATGGAATCCAGGATGCTCATTTCCTCCTATTTTGGATGTACCTGAGTTGCCCAGTCAGTGGTCGTGTCCCCATTGAGGCTCGAACCAAGTATCCGTCGTTTCGTTAGGTTACAACAAGTACAGTCGGATGTTATGACTTGTGATTAATTTTGCTGGATTATATAAACTAAATTTATTGATATCAGGTAACACTTTGACTGTTTATAAAAGTACTTCAGTGTTGCAATTAACTCATTTCTAAGGCGTTTGTGATAAAATGATATCATCCAAAACTTTATCACGAACTGACACCAGTTAGAGAAACATTTATAATTAGGGATCACCTGATATCTACTTTTTGTAGTTTTGAAATTCTCCGGAAAAGTTTTAATTATAGAGACACTGGATTTCCAATTAACCCAGAGGCTTAAATATAGTGTACTCACCTTGTAATGAGAAAATTCTTGGTTCTAACCCTGATGATGGATGCACAGCATAGAAGTGTCTCCAAATAGGATGATATAGCTGTCCTGTGCTGCCTGGTTCTCAGTGTTTCCCTCAGGGATGTCAGCTCTTAGCGAAATTCAGCTTCAAATCAATGAAATTCTCACACCTGAAATCTAAATCTAATATCAGTCGGAAAGATAACTGGAAAGCATGATTTAATTAGAAAATATGTATAACAATCATGAGGGTGAATAAACCTTAGGAAGAGCCAGAAACATTAAAGTTTAATAAAGAGGAAATACAAAATATACAACAGTCAATAAGCGGATGTTATCAGAACAAAACAGTTACCTGCAGTCAGTGGAATTCTTTTCCCTAGATTAATTGTTTACATTGACGTACGTGTGAAAATGACTTTCACAAAATATTTTGCGGGAAAGGAGTGAGAAACTTAAATGTGTGTTACATGATAAATGCTAAAACAGAGTTTTCTGGTATAAAAATAAGCTCAGCTTAAATCACCTCACTTTTCCAGTGGCTGCAAAGACAGAACATTTTCCTGATAAGCTGAAGATCCTGCGCCCCTTCTTCGGTAAGATGATGGTTGCGTACCAATAAGCAGTTCCAGCCTAGGACAAAACAGCCATCCAGTGCTCCATGATTTCAGTGCGTTTGTGGTTCAATGGTACGATTCTCACCAGCCAAGCATTAGGTCCGGATCGGATTCCCGGTTGACGTCCTTGGAGACTTTTCCCGGTTCACTAGCCGGTAGTAGGCCTAGGAGAGAGGGAAGGTTAGAGCAGCAACGCTAACCCTGTGAAAACAACACAACTGTTACTCAAAACTTGAAGCCCAGGTGGAACGCAAAAGAATAAATGAAGATCATCTCACTTTTTCCATACATTAGTCTTGATTTTTATAGATTTCACCATGATATTAGTATCCCTGTACATTTAAGTCTGTGTGAGGCGATAGCTATGAACTAGGGATATTTTAACTTACGGCGGAAAACCCTCTTGTTTGCAAAACTGCACAAGGTTTGTTATGAATTTCTGAGAATGCAAGAAATAAAATAAACGATTTTCTATTTTGACAGCTTATGAATACTGAAGTTTCAGTTTGGTGAGTGTCGAAATTTTGCTGAAAAAAAATCCCAACTGATGAAATAAATAAAGACCACAGCTTATAAGATACAGAATACTGTGCTGAAATAATAACGTATGGCCTCTAAAATCAGTCAAAGTTCAAAGTATGAAGGCAAACAGTTGACACTCAACGCTACTTTCCTCATTTATATGAACAGTATCAAGTGAGTAGTGCAGAGCAGAGATTGTACTCTACTCTGATAAGAATAATTTTTGAGTATTTGTAAAACAAGAGACAATCGTTTTTCACTGTCACGGTGGAGCAACTGACAAGTTATTATTTATTATTATTTTTTCTTTTAATTCCTAGAGGAACATAGGGCTTCAGTCGCACGTCTCCATTGCGTTCGGTTCTCTGCTAGAGTTTTCACCTGGCTCCGTGTCTGCCCACATGCTTTCATCCTCTCTTCACATGACCTCCTCCAAGTCACCCTTGCACTGACGACCAACTCGCCGCCGCTTCCCTTTCGGGTTCCACTCGAGCAATGGCTTGTCTATTGACGTCACTTGATGGTTTCTTTAGAGTATGGCCATTCCATCTCCATTTCTTTCTGCCTATTTGTTGCACAGTCGGTCCCTGGTTGGTTCGTCGCAGAGATCTCTGTTGCTGATCTTTTCTGGCCATCTGATCTTGAGTATTGAGCGAAGACAACTGTTAATGAAGGTTTGTAGTTTGTTTGAGATGCTCTTTATGATGCCCCAAGTCTCTGATCCGTATAGTAGCACTGACATCACATTGGAGTTGAAAATCTGGATCTTATTTTTGACGTTGAATGCTGTTGACCTCCACACAGACTTGAGAGTAATGAAAGCTTGTCTTGCTTTCCCGATCCCCGCTGCTTTGATATCCTCGTCAGTTTCGCCTGTAGTTGAAACGATGCTTTTTAGGTAGGTGGGTAGGTAAAGGAGGTAGTTTCTTTCAGGTTCCTCCCATTTATGCTTATTGTTGTCTGTTGTTGTTGCTGCTGCTGTTGGCCAGGAATCTTCATCACCTCTGTTTTCTCTATGTTCACCTGAAGTCCCATCTTTGATGCTTCTTCTGCCAACTTGTTACTTTTCACCTGCATATCTTCCAGTTTGTGGGAAATCAGACATATATCATCGGCGAAGTCCAGATCCTCCAAGTTTTTCGCTAGGGGCCATTTTACAGAAAACCCGTTCGAAATGTTTAAAATGTAGTTAGACTGAAAAATAGATAAATAAATATAGACACTGATTGCATGGAGGATTTCATCATGAGCTGACATCAGTTAGAGAACCACTGGAAAACCTTCAGGGAGTACTGGACAGCTGTTTCGTCCCATTAGTTTGGGACTCTTCATCAGTGTCTCATTCAGATAACACTGCTCAGTGTATTCATTCTTTGAAGAAGAAAAAACCGGACTTTTTTCAGGTAAATAATTCAGGCACACTACAAATACTGGAAATTTCTGGAAAAAACTTTAAGCATTTTCGAAACTGCACTGTGAGTACTATACGTACATCTGGAGTTATCTTTTCACCTTTTTTAAGTTCTGAAGTATGCTTCATGTTTGGTAGAAACAGTGAAGGAATTTCAATGGTGGCCACACCAGTTCAAAGAATACGAAAACTCAAATACCAACAAGTTAACCGAGTTTAATTGACTTTGAGATTTTCCCGTCAGTTGATTGGACCGAAGTGCTCGGTCTCTGGTTGACATGTCGGCTTCTTGTGCAGATGCTTCGACGATGTCTGGGAATTTAATTAGAATTTAATTTAATTTGTGGATGGTGACTAGCAGTGGCTCTCGTGGCCCAAGTGGTCTAGTGGATAACGCTTTGGGGTTTGAAACTAAGGGCACTGGGTTCGAGCCTCGGTGGGAACATCATCACTCACTGGGAAATGCAGGCACATCTAGATGACGAGTCCCAAATTGGACGAAATGCGCATCCTGGATTCCACTGCTAGTCACCAGCCACAAATTAAATTAAGTTAACCGAGTGCTTCTGTATAGTTAATAGATTTAACGCGTCGTTAAAAGCAATTCCAATAGACCGATGAGTTTCATCAACAGTCTTAGTGGGAGGCGACTACCTGGATATCAAAGGGGGACATGGAGGAAATCATGTGAAGAAGGAATAAAATCTTGCCTACAGTTCTGGAGCCAGTTAGAGGTGATGGCGCAAGGAAGATGTGCCATTGAAGCCCTATGCTGAACTTGGAACTCAAGGAATGCATAATAATATAATAAGCATTCGTCAGGAAAAGTATCACTACCTGAAATATATACAGAGGTATAATAACACGATTTCCAAAAATGTTAACAAAATGTGTCAAAGCCTACTGTCTGCTGCACAATGAGGGGATGTGTAATTTATCCCCGTACAAGCACGTATAAGCCCGTTACTACCAGACAACAAAGTTTATATCATCTGTCCATATTCAAATTAATCCAAATCTTCTATTATTTGAGACGAATCTTTCAGGTAAACGGAATATATATATATATATATATATATATATGAACCTGGTGTGACAGAAATCCCAGCATTATGCGATTACAACACAGATTGGGTCAGAATCTCTACGCCTTTTGAATACCAGCAACCAATAGTGTTTCGTGAGACATTACATGAAGTGATGTCAGCAGC